AAAAGAGTTGTTACCTTCTTTCCTATTTTTCTTTCTGTTTGGCTATTTATTAGGAGATAGCGTTAAAAAAAATATAAGACAGCACATTAAAATGTATTAATCCTCATAAGAATTTACAGTCGCAAAAATTGTAAAACTGATTAGGAAAATTCGGCAGTCAGAACCAGGCTTATAATTAGCCGCTAATTAGCGTTAACGTATTGTAGTGATGTAAATATATAACTATCAGGTTGTTTTTTTTTTTCAAATTAAAATCTCTTGTAGATCTTGATGGCCCGACAACCACTACAATATCGACTGAGATTATTGTAGGCACCCTAAACCAGGCTTGAAACTTGCTGTGAAAATACCGCAAATTAGCCGTAAATGCCAAAAATAAACCGCTACTCAAAAACCCCGAAAACCAGTTTGCATGCGAACATCTTTTGAAAGTAGCGGCAGCGGTTAATTAGCTGCTAATTATGAGCCTCTTTTTAACTTTCCAGGATTTTACAATTTTTGCATGCTAACTTCTTTTGAAATTAGCATGTAAACTGGTTTTCGGGTTTTCCGGGTCGCGGTTTACTTTCACGGTTAATTTGCGGAATTTTTACAGCACTTTTCAAGTTTAGGGTGTCTACTATAATCTTAGTCGATATTGTGGCGGTTGTCAAATGATATGAGCCCTAATAGTTATAGGATACTACATCGTCAACGGCTAATTAGCGGCTAATTATGAGCCTGGTTCTGACTGTCTAGGATTCGCAGTTGATATTGTGGCGGTTGTCGTCCCGTCAAGATAAAAAAAATGACGCTATTTTGAAAAAAAAATATTTGAACCAGAATGGTTATAGACTACATCGTCAGCTGCTAATTAGCGGCTAATTATGAGCCTAGTTCTGACTGTCTAGGATTCTCAGTCGATATTGTGGCGGTTGTCGTCCCGTCAAGATAAAAAAATGACGCTATTTTGAAAAAAAAAGATTTGAACCCGAATGGTTTACGACTACATCGTCAACGGCTAATTAGCGGCTAATTATGAGCTTGGTTCTGACTGTCTAGGATTCGCAGTCGATATTGTGGCGGTTGTCGTCCCTTTAAGATAAATAAAATGACGCTATTTTGAAAAAAAAAAATTTGAACTAGAATGGTTATAGACTACATCGTCAGCGGCTAATTAGCGGCTAATTATGAGCCTGGTTCTGACTGTCTAGGATTCTCAGTCGATATTGTGGCGGTTGTCGTGCCATCAAGATAAAAAAATGATGCTATTTTGAAAAAAAAAAGATTTGAACCCGACTGGTTATAGACTACATCGTCAGCGGTTAATTAGTGGCTGATTATGAGCCTGGTTCTGACTCTAAGATTTTCCTAACCGATTTTACAATTTTTGCATGCTAACTTCATTTGAAGTTGGCATGCAAAGTATTTTTCTGGTTTCCCGGATCGCGGTTAATTTTTGGCATTCGCGACTAATTTGCGGCTAATTTATGGCTAATTATCCTATAGTTTTATCTTTGCTTGCTAACTTTGCTATACCAACTTTAAAGGGGTGAACAGTTTAGCGCGTAGCCTCCTAATTTTTATAAGATTTTTCTCTTCTCATTTTTGCAGCTCTGGCCGTTTGCGCGGCTTGCCCCCCCCCCCAGATCGGGCCTTAAAATTAGTTTCACTATTACGCTAATTGTAGCTTTACAATTTTATTTGATTTTGTGAGCTGTTATTACTCAAATCTCTTCATAAATATTCCTTACATAAAAAAATCATAAGAGTGACGCTTGTGGCAGTTGTTTATTTGTTATAGCAATTTCGTAACGAAAAATATTTACTTATTTGTACCTTCATACAAACAAGGTTTATTTTTACATGAAAAAATAGGAATTATTTGCATGACGATTTGTTTTCTAACCATATACGTGTGCGACTGATAATAATAAGAAAAAGATTCCAACGAATGTTGGAAATTTATTTATTGTTTTCTTTGAAATGGGGACTTTTTAAATTATGCTGTTACTTGTTAAGAAAAACTGAGCACGTAATTTCCAATTATTAAAACTTTAAAGTTAAAAATGTAGGAATGATGATAACGAACAAATAAAAATGAAGTTTAAGATATAAAAAGCATTTAACTATGTAGTGTTTTCCAGGGTGGCGGTCAAGTAATTACACAGCTATATGTTTTTTGTAACGTTTCGGTTTATTCAACCATCTTCAGACTTTTGAAGTGTTATTAACTTATTTTTAAATATTCTCTCATGTTGAACCAGGGATCTAACTTAAATTGAAAATATGCCTAGGAAAAACGACAAAAATGGTTCTACAAAACCATGTCTCATCAAACGTAGATATATATACAAAACTAATAACCATCCTAGCAAAGGAAAAAAGCATTTAACATTATTGGAATCTGTTTAGTCAATTTTTGTATAAGTAGAACACTTGTACGTTATAAGCAGTGTTGCTTTATAAAAAGTGAATTAAATAACGTGTAAGGTGTTAAATTTGGTGAACGCAAAAGCTATTTTAAACAAAATAACCCATTGGAGTGAAAATGAAACCCAATGTTAGTCTTACTGAAAAATTTTTATTAACGAATAAATGATTACAATAATCTAAGTTGTTTCCTTTTAAAGGATACGAAAAGGTATCCTAGAAGTCTTCGCAATGCTCTGTTTATATTTAAGTACTTTAAGAGGCACAATTTGGATTTTATTTGATCTCATCAGCACGCTATTGTTTTTTATTTTTAAGCTGTGTTGTCGTCTTTGGCCTTTGTTTAATATTTTGAAATAGCTCGGTTGTTAGCTGAGATAACTCAGTAATTCGATTAATAAAGTGGACGATTAAAAACAAAATTCCTTTATATAACGTCGATGATATCCTGTTTCTAGAATAATTAAAAAAAAACAGAGAAAGAAACTAAACCTCTTGTCTCATATTTTTTATTGAGCACTGAGATTTGAAAATATGATAAAAAATTTATCTGTTGGCCCGTAAAACATTTCCTTTGTCAAGGTCGACATTAAAACATTGTATGCAAATTTTTGACGAAAACACAATAAGTTGTTTATGTGCAAGTCGTAATTCTTTTATATAACAATAAAGATTACGTATTAAGTTCAATAGTTTAGTTGTTCTGTGTACTTTATATTATTTATGTCTTATAAAGAAATGGTTTTAGGATAACAATTACGTAATATTAACGATTAAAATATGGTAAGCATTTAGATTAGTTGTAAGTCAGTTGCAGAGTTACACAATTTTTTATTATCAATATTAAAACATATTCCGCCCTCATATTATAGCATCTGCGGAAGTCTATTACAATACTGTATTCAAAACTTAAATTTACTTTTTTGATAATTTTGAAGTAAAAAAATATCGAAAAAAAGTCAGTTTGTCTCTAGATTTCAACCATGTGTTATCCAGAAGTAGAAACAAAGAACACTAACTCCAGGGATATTCTTGTAGATCCCCTTTTTCAAACGTCTTGGTCTTGCATATTCGTTCTTGGATTTAGTCTTGGTCTTGTTCGCTCGGTCTTGGTTTTAGCCTTTGGTCATCTTTATTCGATCTTGGTTTTGGTCTTATCAGTATAAAGACAATCTTAGACTTGTTCTTGCACTTTCGCAACCCACGTTGGATTGCTGAATGTTTTGAGTTCTTGAGGTGACATTTTTAGAAAAGTTACAGGTTTTTAGTAACTACGGATGAGCCCAGAAGCGTCAAGGCCTATGCATTGCTCGATATAATATAAAAGCCCATAAAAAATGTGACTACGTCCCTTGTGTTGATATTCCTTCAGGGTTAATGTATTTATCTGCGTAAGAACGTCATTTTATTGATTAAAACAAACTTCAGGAACAACAGCACTAACTGGTACCTTTCCGAGTGATTATTTTTACATACCTATTTAAGTACGGCCATTAAATAGAGATGGCTACACAATTAACATAACTTTTGAATTTTTTCCTCTCTTGGCCTTACGATGCAAGACCTTTCGTAACCTTTCTTATTATTTTGTGTGCTGTTGTATTATTCCTGTACACACACCCATTATACAGTATACAAATTTGCTTTTGTTTTGGCACTTATTAACCTTTACAATCATCTGAATAGCCACGTGCCTTTAAAAAATTAGTTATAATAGTGAAGTCAAGGAGGTAAGGTGCTGAGTCGGTGATCGATTTTGGAAAAAGTTACTTTGGAGCACTAATCTTAAACGAAAACAATTAGTAGTAGAATTACATTACAGTTATCGGAGTTGTCGGCAGTGAAGTGAAATCAAAATGATTGTGTTTAAAAATGATACGATTTGTGAGAAAAACTTTACTACCCGTTTTAAAAAACGAATTCTGGAGAGGTGAGGGTTTAACAAGTACGATTTTAAACTCGTAATCTTATTTAACTGGAATATTTTATTTTCCCCTGACATTGGTACAAATTGTTTTACATTATTTTACAACTCGACCTCTCTAATTCATATTATTCTCTGATTTGAGATTTATGTACGAGTTGTACATTTATAAGTTGTCTCTTGAATCCAAATTTATTAATTTTCTTCGGAAATTCAGCCGCAACGATAAGTCAATGGCTTGAGAATTTAACCAGAACTATTACCATTAAAAATTTTCACTGCGACCTACCTACTTTATTATGGAAAATAGAAAAAAAGCGGTTAAGATGCTAGGCTCGTAAGGTTACGGTAGGAAAAGACAACACGAACGCAGCACTTATATTGTTTGACCTCGTAATCTAAAATTGTAAGGATTTTATTAGCGATGGGCTTGACAATAATACGTGGAAAAGTCTTTAAAACAACTGGATGGTCCCTATAAAGTTTATTTGAAGTAGGCGATATTGGTAAATTACAAAAAATACATTTATAAAAACATGAATATAATTGCAATGTATACACTCTAGATTTTAGCTTTCGGTATTTTGAAAATGTAATTTGACCTGTATACAAATATAGAATAAATATCAAGTACGAATTGACGAATTGAAACTTTTCTTTCCAGAATGGGGAGTTTCAATTCTGCTCCTAAAATACTGAACGAAGACTGTCAGGATCGTGACCTAAATCTTCCTAATTGTATTGATAGACAGGATTTATTACGTCTATGTCATACAAACTCTGATGGTTTTCCCATAATTCGAAGAAAATTTCATGTGTTAAACACCCAAGCCGATGAATCATACGAGTACATGCGAGGTACACACCCTAGTCTTTTGTTTTTTTTTTATGTTTTTATACTCGTGTCCAATATTTTATTATAATAATTTTTGCAGACTCTTACGATAGAGATCCAAGCAGTGTGAGAGTATTGCAATGGAACATATTATCACAAGGTACATATTTTTTGAAATATACTTATTTCTACTTGTTTGTATTGTATATGAATTAAAAAAAATACTTTTTGTGAAATATTAAAATAAAGTCTTTTTTATATCCCTTAGCACTAGGAGTTATGAACGACCATTTTGTTAAGTGCCCAGAAAAGGCTTTAGACTGGAATTTTAGGAAGTATAAAATAATTCNATAAAATATTTATTCTGCGTTTATTTTTGAAGTTATACTTCGTGTGGGGCGTTAAGAGTAAAAATTTAACATGCAACGGAAGTTGCGTGCGCACGTCGAACGAAAATTTCAATAGCATGAAGTTAGCAGCGTGGCTGCGGGATCAGAACCGGTGACTCTGGTCTCGATGGTCGCTGCTGTTCGCTGATTGGAACTGCAGCCACTACGTCAGTAGGAACAGCTTTATTTAAACAGATATAATACCTAATGGAAAGCAGTAATAAAATAAATGTAAAATTATTAATTATGCCAAAGAAATATAACTTCAAGTGCGCATACCATTTTTTCCTTGTGAAGTAAGTCTTTTAAGTATTTGTTTTTGTAGGAAGTGGATCATTTTAATTTTCTGAAAACAGTGTTAGGTTCTCAAGGTTACGACGGGGTATTCTTCCCCAAGCCAGACTCACCTTGTTTTTATATACCAGATAACAATGGGCCTGATGGCTGTGCAATTTTTTATAAGACTAATAAATTCGATCTAGTAAAGTCAGAGACTCGAATTCTCGAAGTGTGGAGTGTACAAAGTAATCAGGTAAAATTTAATTATATTTGTTTATATCTTAAAATTTAACATGTATTAGTTAAGTTAATTAAGTGGAATCTCGATAATCCGAACGTTGCTATAATCCGTACTGCGCCGAGTGTATGATAAGAGAGAACCTCTGACCTTATGCTTTTTTTTCCTAACACACTATAATATATATGCTTCATGAGTTCGAACAGGGGTTGTTTTTCGGTAGTTCGGATTACCGAGGTTCTACTGAATACTGGTTGCTAAGTAAATGTAATTTTTAAATAATTTTTTAGGTTGCTGTACTTGCCATACTAAAAGACAGAGTTTCTAATAAAGAACTGTGTGTTGCGACGACCCACTTAAAAGCCAGAAATGGTGCCCTTTTATCTACTCTTCGCAACGAACAGGGTAAAGACTTATTAAATTTCGTATACGAAAACTGTGAAAAACGACCCGTGTTATTATGCGGTGATTTCAACGCGGAACCCATAGAACCCATTTACAAAACCGTCATGACCCATGACATAGGTCTTTCCAGTGCATACGCCGATTCAAAATTAATGACTTCGTCAGGAATTTCTTTCAGTGAACCCCCTTACACCACATGGAAAATAAGGGAAGAGGGCGAGGTTTGTCATACGATAGATTACATATTTTACAGCAAAGAGTTTATGGAATTGCAAGGGGTTGTTGATTTTCCTACGGGGGACGAAATTGGGCCCGATAGGGTTCCAAGTTACGCTTATCCCTCCGATCATTTCTCTTTAATATGCGATTTTAAATTAAAAGACTGTTAATTATTATTGTCATAAAAAATAGTTACATATATTTATTCTATTATGTGTATGTATCTGTCGACGGTGTACCAAAAACTGTGAAATTCACATGGCATTCGAAACTCCATAGAATTTTAAGAAAAATGCCCTTTACAGTTTTTCGATACGACCCTTGGTTATTAAGTTAGTGACAATTAAAGTATGCGTTGGTTTCTGCAAGTGGCGATGTTCATGTGTCAATTGTTGGCAGCTGATTGGTCCGCGTCTGCTTGCAGACTGCAGATACAAAAGTGCTGCCAATTTTCTGCAAGCGACGATGTTCACATATCGTTTGGTGACAGCGGATTGGCTCGCATCTTCTTGCAGTGATAAGGGCGCTATCCGATTGGTTTATCCTTTAGATATTAATTACTCGATAATTACGCGTCTGATTGAAAAACTGCAAAGGAAATTATTTCTTGAATTTTCACATTGAATCGAATGGCGTAGTTTTTCTCGGAATATTTGCAAATTACCGTATACAAATGAGGTAATAATGAGGTTTCTGTTGATTACAGTATTAATTGTAAGAGATTTTCTCAACAGTGCGCATACCTCACTAAACGATATTTTTGTTACGTTAAAGACAATAGTGATATGTAGGAGATGATATACGTTATTTTTGCAATTAAAACGTCTTCCTTTACCTAAGATTTGTTAATAAATGTGTACATCTATCAGCCGTAACACTAGCAATAGCATATCTTTACCTATTGTAAGTATTTCTTAGTTGTTTAAAGAAATGTTTTAACAAAAATGTAATAAAGTCTTCAATAAAAAATTAAATAATTATTGGCTAACTTCTTTTCTAAATAATGCGTTACTATTTGTTTCGATCATCATTAAAAAAATCATTTTTGTTTCATTATTTGTATTATTCTTTATTATCTTTATCCCTTTCAAAACTGAGTTAAATAACATCGATAATTAAAAAGATGAGATATTTTTTATCGTTATCATTACATTCTTTTAATCATCTGTTGTACCATGTTTCGCGGCTTCTAAGATTGTTTGGCTCAATCCCATTCCGAAGCATGCAATACCGATTATAATAATAATAATATCTTTGACAAGAATCCAATGCTTTGGACCATACCCATTTTCATACCTCTCGTACAGATCCATCAACATCGGATAAATTATGCCCAATGTGCATATGGACACGGCGCCAGTTAACGAAACGACTAAATATAAATTCGGTAGGCCAATTGTTGTCGCATCTGGAAAGAAATTATATTTAAAATAAACTTTAGAGACTTTTAGGGTTTCTTGTCATTTTCTTGAAGTTCTTTCTCGCAAATTAAAAATTATTACAAAATATTTGTCATCATCATCATCATAAGGTCGTCAGTCCTAAGACTGGTTGGACACGCACCTCCACTCTTTCCTATCCTGAGCTAATCTTCGCATTTCACCCAAACTAGATATGTTATTCCTATATCTGGATAATACATGGTTGAAATCTAGAGACAAACTGATTTTTTTTTTCGATATTTTTTTACTCTATGGAAGTCAATAAAAAATAGGCGAGTTAGGCTGGTAGGACACCTTCTCAGGCATGAAGGTCTAGTCAGAGACATATTAGAGGCAGAAACAGGAGTTGGGAGGGGTAGAGGTAGACCTAGATTAGATTACTGTTCGCAAATAGTTAAGGATGTGGGTTGTTCTAGTTTTAAGGAAATGCGAAGTTTTAGGACTGACGACCTTATGATGATGATGATGATGAAGTATCTTGTAGGTATTATTTTGTTCACTAAAAGGTCAATTTATGCATTGGGGGAAGAGTAAGTTATCAAGTCTTACATTACTTTCTTTAAAAATCATAACAAGCTCGCATGTATGACAAAAAATTTTAGCATTTAAGACAATTATTGTAGAAGTCATCATCATTATCATGGGGTCGTCAGTCATTAGACTGGTTGGACACATACCTCCACTTTTTCCTATCCTAAGTTAATCTTCTCATTTCGCCAAAACTAGAGCAACTCACATTCTTAACTATTTGCGAACAATAATCTAATCTAGGTCTACCTCTACTCCTCCTTACTCCCGTTTCTGCCTCTAATATGTCTCTGACTAGACCTTCATCTCGCCTATTTTTTATTGACTTTATTTCTAACCTTCTCTATTCCCTCCGTGCCCACCGTCCATTTTTCGCATCCATACCGCGCCGCGCTCTAAACACACCTTTTTCGAATTTCTAAATTAACCGTTCTATCCCTACTACTCCTTCCGTCCTGATTTATCTGACTTCCTAGATACCTAAAATCAGCCTCGTCTCGTATCTTTATATTCGCTCTTTCCCTACTGTTTCCTTCCTTGCATACCAGTATTTTTGTTTTACATTTAAGTATTTTCATTTGTCAAAATTGTTTCCATTTTATTTAAAGCTATCTCTAGGTCCTCCTTGCTAGATACTAATACTGCTGTATCATCTGCAATTCCAAGCATACTAATGTTTTGTCCCTGTATATCTATCCCTACAGTGTTGTACTGTTTTTAATGACGTTGACCGCGTTTTAGATATATATATATAGATTAACAAGTGACAGTATGCTTCCCTGTCTGCCTCCCTTCTTAACATTTACTTCTCTACGTTGCCTAAAATTAATGGAAAGGTTGAAAATTTGAAATAAATACATACCTACGTGTATTTTGAATCAGTGATAGTCAATGTAATGCTTATTTCCATGCAGTAAAATTAAAAACGATTCATTACTTACTATATGTTTTAAGTTAAAAATCAAACTAAAGTTTTTGTCGTGTTGACAATAGAAACCGCCCAAGAATTCTTAAATTTTAAGTGGTTAATTTCTTTTCAGTAACAAAATTATGTTCTTTATATAAACTTCTAATTAGGGAAGTGACTCGCAAAAAAATCATGTCCCAACCTTCTGCCGCTTCCATGATGTAAAGGCGGAATTTGGGTCCATTCCGAGATGAAGGGTTGAAAGAAAAATGTTGACCTAGCCGCTTGGTTTTGACGATATTTAAAATACTCCACATTTCAGGAAAAATAGTGGCACAAAAATTCATGGGTCATTTTCCCGAGCGTGAATAAAAAAAATGGAATATGGTCCGACGAAAATTTCTTCTATTACTTTTCCGGGAATATGGAGTATTTTATGTAAATTATGCCGTCAAAACCAGGCGGTTAGGCCGATAGTACTTCTATTTCTATTTCCCCCCCTGCCGCCTTTTCAGGAAACTGACCCAGATTCCGCCTATATTTCATATAACAAAAATGCTCTAAATTAGGCACTTAACAACAGCTCCCTAACTATTTCTAAAGTCTTTTGGGGGAGGGGGGGGATGAGCATGGATAGAATGTCCCGCGTAGCTTGTGTATTTTTTCTCAGTAATTACCATAATTATGATTTGACAATATTCAGCAATCGAAAATTTTCTGTGAGGGGAAGAATTTATTTTTAAAATATTGAAATAAATTTGCATCTTTCAAAACCTTTTATTCTATTTGTAGTTTGTATCTTCTATCACTTTCCCTCCCCTTGGTCTATAGGCTGGCTCTAAAATAATCAACATATTGCATAAGTACGTACGTGTAACTAAGACGGTACCAGCTTTTAGTAGAAAGTTCCACAAATGTGGGTCCTTCGTTATTCTTTGTTCTAAAAGTTCATCCCAAATTATATCAACGGCTACAACCGCATTTAGTCCGTACGAAACCAACATTGTAAAGAACAACAGGACTTGTATTATTCTTGTTTTTCTGTAATATTACATTCTTATGTTACCTATCACAGAAGAGAAAAAATTTATTGTAATTAGGTAATTTATTTTTATCATGAACAAAATTTGAGTTTGGGTCACATGATCGGATCGTCAATAGTTCCTAGGTTAGTACTACTAAGTGCCGGTGCACACTTGCGACAGTTTGCCGCCGCGGGTCCGCAGCGGCACCGCAAAGTTTGCTGCACACTTGTTGATATTTTTGCGGTTTTGTTGCGGCGCCGCAAAAGTAATAAAAATATATATCTAATACAGTGTCATTCGTTTTTAAAGAAAATCAGTCAGTGCGACAAGTTGAATAGTGCAAAATGGAAGTTTTTATTAATGAAAGGCGTGCAGTTTTTACGTATTTGGTGTACAAATGCGTTATTGATCGAAAAAAAAAAACGAGACGATTTTGGGTAGACCCATATACCGATTTACGGCTTACGAGGGGCACATTTGTAACGTCGTTTTCGTATTTAAGGGAGAATCCTGACTAATTTTTCAACTACTTTCGAAGGAGTGTTGCTTCATCTGATGAATTAACAGCAAAAGTTTCTGATAGGATAAGATCGCAAAAGATACCAGATTAAGAGTCTCCATAATCCCACTAGAAATGTTTTCTCCTTGTCATCCAGCTCCAAAAATCCATCGGAAAACATTTCACAGATTATAATCCATGCAGACCTGTTTTTGACTCTTTCATGGTATAGGTATATTTCTGAGGAAATATCCCATATCTCTGGGAACCAACCCCTTTACTGCATCAATGAATAATTCTATATCCAAATTTTCAGAAGTTCTAGTAGCAGCCATCCTTTTTTGCGTCAATTTGCCGCAAGTGTGTACCAGCCGATATACAAACGAGTACTACAAAACCGCAATAGCGGCAGCGGTGCCGCCACGGTTCCGTAGGGACTTGCGGTTCAAAACGGTCACCATTTGGACGCGCGGCCCCGCGGCGGCGCGCAGATGAATGTGCATTAACCCATTTACCTGTTAGTACTTTAAGCCGCAATTGCGGTGCCGCAGCGGCGATTGCCGCAAGTGTGCACCGGCGCTAAGGGACCTTCTTAATTACTCAACTAATTGTCATTTTGTCAAAAAACTGTTGTCTTTCATGGTGTATTAGGTATGCGGCATAGGAAAATATAGGATAATCAAATATTTTAACACAGTTCTAACAATAATTAAGTCAATTTGACATTGCGTCGGGGGTTAAGCGAAGAGAAGACTCCCGTAATAGACGCATACACCCGAAAATCGACCAGCCGAAAACAAGCGACGGGAGTTCCCCAAACGGGTTGATTGATGGCAGGGTAGCCAACCGTCGATGGTTGGTTTATTTTTTAATTTCAGATTTTTTTTTCTTCACAATATCGTCTATAGTTTTTAATTGCGGCTGAGGGCCTTTTGTATCCACGTGGCCCTAAGCTGCATCCCAAAAAGCCCTCATGTAGATTCGCCCCTATTGGGTCATCCCCTTTTTTGAAATTAATATTACGATCTATTAGTTTGCCACTGATTTTTATCCTAAACTTTTTGGACAAAGAATTTAATAATTATAAACAATGAAACATTTTTAGAAGATACGATTTTTATTGTTAATAATGATTATACATTGGTTCGACGATTCTATGACCTACGTAGTTAGGCAACATTATCGTTATTGCTACTAACGCCTCTCGGGTTCGATTCCCGGCGAGGGCATAATAGCGGCAACAATTTTTCTTTATTAATTTGAGCTTGTTTGCAGTGATAAGAATTAATTCAAAAATTAATTTACTTTAATGTAATAAAAATTATACTTTCTTTTCGGGAAAATATAAAATAGAGACGGTAGAAATATACGTATTAAAATATAGAAAAATGGCGTTTTATTAACTTTGGTAAATTGTAATTAGTATATTTTTTGTTGATATATCGTATATAATTCAAGTGAAGTTTGAAAAAACTCACATATTTTTAGGTGGAAAATTTAATATGTAGTTTCCTTTTACTTCATTACCATATCTCCAGTAACCGAAAAGTCCAACAAAGACATTCAGTATAGTAACAACATACATAGCTCGATGAAACATTCCACAACAACCCCTCAAATGTTCTGGAGTTTTCATGCTGTATTCCACATGACAGATCTACAAGTTTGGAAGAAAAATTACTTTTTCATCATACCCCTACTGAAAGTACGATTTTTTTTCTTGGTTTCAAGGACAAAACAGTATCAGTGTAACTTCCCCCACCCTGACCATTCCCACCCGGGAAGGAATGCTGCCATATTCTTCCGTCGTCTTGGTACGTAACGTAAATGTATGTCGCAAAAACAATGGTAGAGGGAGGCAACTTACCACACCGATGGCTTGCATCGAAAATACAACTGTTGCAATAGAAATGGGCCAAGTATTTGGAGATGCTACGACATCCCAGTCACTTGTACTGCCCAAGCCTGAGAATAGAAAAGCGACGGACAGACATAGTACTATTAACATGGTGATATTGGCGGCTAAGGAAAAAGGTGCAATTGATTTCAAATTCATTATGAACAAGGTGAGAAAATATGGAGTTATTGTTGCCAATATGCAGTGCGTCCTGTTTAAGTGCCTGGTTCCGGGGAGTGAATTGATGAACGTCTCCAAACATGAAGCTCCAACAATAATATAGGACATACAGTTTCCAAACTGAAGGATCATTATGAACACGAATGATGAAACCCTAAACATTTTATTTTATTTTGTAAATATGGAGTTATCTAGTAAAAGGATTTTCAATAAAATTAAAGATTTAACGTCCTATTTATGTAAATTTCTTCAGGGCTTTACAAATAAAAAAAGAATATTGGGATCCGTCAAATGGGAGGAGCCTAAAAACATGGCGCCGATTAGGGAAAATTTATCGTAGTTCCTATAGTGTACCGTGCAATTTCCAAGTTTTTAAATTACGATAAAATGATAAGTATTGACACAATATGTGATTGGGCTGACACAAAGCCTCGGAAAGGAAATTTCGTTGAAGGTGAGCGTGTTTTTAATGCCAATCACATTATAAAATTCGGAAATAACAAATCCGGAAGCTAGCCTTCAAATTCCGTCAAGTTTACTGCCTACTTTTTACAAACTTCGGATTTAAAAAGTGATTCACGTTATATAATTGGTGAGGTGATTCTGGGTGATTTAAGCAATATCATATCAATGACTTGCACGTGCAAAGCCGATTTAAGAGAACGTTGCAAACACATTATTGCAACTTTGTTGTATTGCAGCAGGTAGGTTCTTAACCTCAAAATACTTATATCGTATCATTAGAATTGTGTTAAATCAATTACACAGGAATAAATAATTTCTCACTTTATAATTTTAGTATGATTCTAGTTTTAAATATTAAGGTTATGGCTGATGGTAAATACTTGCTGAAATATAATCATGTGCATTAAAATGACGTGAACAAATTTTTATTCCGGAATTCACTTCTTTGATACCTACTGCTTTCATCCAAGCTTCTATTAGTTTACTTTTTTCTCTAATTTTCCGAATATATTTTTTACATATATAAAACGGTTAGTTTTTATTGGAAAGTAGTTAATGTAGGTGAAGAGTGAAGATCTATGTCTGAAGTGCTATTGCAGCTTTTCACTGAACATATTAACTTTTTATTTGATTTAACTTTAGAAGAAAACTTCGTCGACTCCATCATCAAAAAAATGTGTACTTTTTTAACGTGTTTTATTATTTTAATAAACAATTTTACAATTTGCGTGCACAGTTCCTATGTAAATTTTTCCCTCATTCGAGTTATAAATTTTGCCACCAGATGGTGTATGCCTATTTGACGGATCTCAATAAAAACTTTATTTTGTTACTGACGCTGTACATTTTACAAAACATACTAATGGATTGTTAATATTAACTGGCAGAATCGTCGCCCTGAAGGATAAATAGTCGAAACGTTGGCGGAAAGTAATATGAAGTCTCATTCCTCATTAATTCGATAATCTTAAATAACCATAAGAATCAATAGTTATTATTTCTAGATGGTTTTATAAATAAATTCTCTTATTTTTTAAAATTGTCTACATCCTATTTTGTCTTTTAATTAAGACGTAATTGTGTTAAATAAAAGTAGATAACTACCTATGGTCGTATCTGACAATATATATAATATTTATATTTTATCATCTTAATTTGCATGATGGCAAATTTTTCACCTACTTGAACAATTTTCCACATTTTTTGGCATACGGCGGTCCAAATTCGGTTACTATTTCCATAGCATAGGCGTACTTAAGGAGAGGTACCATTTTTCGTTGGCAAATTCTATGCTTAGTTGCAATCTAGATATGTATTTTTAAAGGAGATCTGTTATTAAATTAGTTCTTTGTTTTTTATATTTTTGGCGAAAGTTTAAAGATACGAGGGTTTCAGATTCTGATCTATTGAATTACGAAAAGAAGTGAAAAGCCCAGTGCAACATGAAGAAAATTAAATGGTGTAGGTTTAATTTAATTTTTTATTTACCTGACTGCAACAACCGTGCTTTTTTTTAATGAAATTAGAGACCAGCAATTCACGCATCTTAAACGGATTCGTTTTATAGTATAATAAATTATGCTAATACTAATACATAATTTATAACTGCAGTACACTACTACGTCAAGTTGTGATAAGTCAAACAAGCTTTACCTATTCTTAAAATTACTTATTAGTATATCTGGACCAGGACCGTAACCAGAAGTACGCCAGGGCAGGCTCAGCCCAGAGAACAAACATTTTCTAATTTTCTTGGTAGTTATTATTAGAGTTGTAATATTTGCTGTATGTTGGATTATCTATACAATAATAAATTAAAAATTATAGTTCAAAATATAAATGACCATCCCTAGCTGCATCCATACCGGAATTATAGCCATTGTTTTAAATTGTCCCAGCGCCTTCACCAAAACATTCAATAACATTTTTTAATAATTATTACCACTTATGTTGTAAGTATAGATGTCTTACTTTAAGTATTAAAACGATAGATTAACCGTCCGCAGCGTTCAACGAATGTGAAAGATCCTTCTTAGATGCGAACGAAATAATTCGGAAACTTAGTATGTTAAGTTTTCTTTTAAGAAAATGTAATTAGTAAAAGAACCAATGTTTACACATCCAACATACATGGTGACAAACAAGATCAGGTTATAGACGACATATACTGGATCTTTATAGAAATGGGCCGATCTCTATAAATAATTGTCGACGATTATAGGAAGGCCATCAAAGTATTAAAAACAGCTGATTTCCAATATTATACATATCAGCTCGACGAAGGAAAAGATTTTAAGATAGTGCTAAAAGGCATCCCACCGACGAGGAAATTAAAACATCCTTGGACAAGCAGGGGTACAACTATATTTCCGTAGCTAGGATGGAAAACAAAACCAAAAAGCTGCCATGGTTCTCATAAATACCTCACTAGATGATAAAAGGAAAAAGGTATACAACAACAAAAGGAAAAGGATTTTTATTTTTAGTTTTTAGACCGTTGCTTAGCATTTGGGAGGACGCCGCGATTCCTGGTCCGTCTACCTTGTCCAAATTTTTCTGTGGTTTCCTTGAATCACTTAGGCAAATGCTGGGGCAGTAATACTCCACAGATAATCTTTCATTCTCTTCTGTCTTCATTTCGTCCGTCTCATCTTTCTCACCTGAACCACTACCCGCCCATTCTTGAAAGGAGGCTGAAGAGGGTCTTCCGCCCTACCTTCCGGCGTAGTCCGGAGGGACTGCCCGCCCACTAGCATGAGTGGCTGGTGGGAATGAAACACCCAAGTTTTTTTTTTAAGGAAAAGGAAGATGTGCCAACTGTGGTGACGAACATGTTGCGTTAAGTTGGAGCTGCCCACTGAACCCAAAAGCAAGAAAAAAGAAACAAGATGGGAAAAAGAAGAAGACCTAGAGAAAATGGTTACGAAAAATCATGGGGAGGCTACTACTAAAACTCATTCCGATTATTTATGACTAGTTAACATCATAAGCCTTCAACGGAGATGTATGCGCCTAGTTACTGGTGCTCCATTTTATGTCGAAACCGAAGAGCTGTGAAAGGACCTCTCCTTCGCCTCTCTCACCCAGAAGAAAGAAACAAAGAAAGTCGAGCAAAAATGAAACAATCACTGTTAGACAGTATGAAAGAGTACAGACAAAAAATTGGCAGGAAGATGTCGCTATGAGAATCACCTAAGGCCAAAACAACCTTTATACAAGGAAAGATTAGTTATAAGTGCACCTAAGCACTTGAAATATTAACTATGGCAATGAACTTTAAAAAAAAAGGATTGTTAGTACGAGTCAGCGAATTCAAGACGATACAACAAGTGTCCAAGTGTTCATACAGTGGTAAATTGATAACTGATAAATAATAAATGAGTTAATTAGGCAGCAAGTAGTTAAATAGATGTAGTAATAGTGTGAGGAAGGTGTTTAAATACGTGACATATCTATCTACGATAAACAAAACTAACGAAAAGTTTATTAGTTAAATACGTCGTCATGATATATGTGGATAAATTTTACTTTCTACTGGCCTGACCTTTTTAGTCCTGTCCTAATTATACAGTCTGGCTACAATCCTGATCTAAATTCCAGAATATTTACACGTTTTGAGGAAACTCAGTAAGTATACGAATAACAAATTAAAATGGCATAAGGATTTGACGCATTATTGACAATGATATTACTGGTATGTATATGAAATTATACTTGTTATTAATTTGTAGTTTACTTACTGATGTTCCTCAAAGTTTTCTCTAATTACAAGAGTGTCAATGGTGTGAATTAAGAGTATGCTTGCAAGAACCACGCATACACTTCCAATAGCCAATCCCGAATATTTGAACGCTATCGGCAGGACCAGTAGACCACTTCCAAGACATCCTCTTAGTATATTCATAAAAGCTTCACAATCGCTGTAACCACAATCGAACCGCTTAACATTTGACTTGCAAAAACACACGGTCGTACCTACTTTATTGGATCTTTTATTTCTCTGTATTCATGTGGATCGTACTCATCGTTATTATTGCCATCATCCTCGTCCATTATTGCATTCACAATCAGCTGTTGGAGATGAGTATGATTTGACCGTTAACCTACCCAAAAATACGTAATTCGTTTTTTACACAGGAAATATTCATACAGAAATTATCTTGTTAATCTGACAAATACAAGAAGCACACTTGGATAATACGTAATTGCAAATGATAGAGATCTATCTCCTCTATAATTAGTCCAGCGTAAATAAGTTCTTCCCTTGGAATTCAGCTGCAACGAATGGATTTGAATTGAATTTCTTATACTAATTGAAAGTAAAAAGTTTACCCATTGAAATTTTCCACTTTTTTATATTTTTAATTTTTGAAGTATATCGCAATATCAATTACACTAAATTGGCTGAAAGATATCGCCGATCATTGAAAAATGACTCAAGACTTAATTTTTTCTAAAAATATGCCTCTAAAAATTCGCCAACAAAAACCTTACCAATAGCAATAATAAAAGTAGATTCATCGAAATGCTAAGCAAAAACCAAGCTGATGATATTTTCTCGTGTGAAGCGGAATGCTGATACTTTAATCATATAAAATTGATATTGAGTCAAAAAATCTTGTTAATGCAGATATGTTAGTATTATTTCTATCTTTAACATCTCCCAATAGAGAAACAAATATTCTTTCAAATCAGCAAAATAGGTAATAAAACCAGGTGCTTCCGTTTGAAAAAATAAAATCGGTGGTAGTCGCTTATTTTTGGGCCACCCTATGTACACGAATTTATCACAAAAAAAAACCCGCAGTCAAAAATAAAGATTGATGTGTCACTGTTGATGGCGGTGTCCAATGTCAAACTTGGAAGACCTTATTATCTACTCCATTGCCTATATACTTTTTCCGCAATTTTTATCGTTCGTGGATCCTGGGGGGGGGGAATTGGTCCAATTGCTTGCCCCCCCCCCCTAACTCATAAATGAGTCATATTTACCTCTGTAACTTTTTAAACAGTTTTATCTACTTGTTTCTCGTATCTCAATGATAAAGTGATATAAAGTTACTAGTTCTTGGTCATGGTTTTATTGAATATTTACAAATTTCGACAAGACATGCAGATACATATAAATATACAATATCATACATAAAAAGGAGAAGGTATAATTTAATCAATCGTCTGTGCGATGCTCGATTGCGTCGAGAACGCCTGAATATATTCCAAAACCAAAACTAGCAATACCAATAATGATAATGATTATGTTTTTAATAAGTCTCCACTTTAATTTTCCGTATCCTACTTCATAGCGTTCAAATGAATCCATAAGTATGGGATAAATTATACCAAGAACTGACATACATATGGCACCAGTAAATGTTATTATCAAGCTTATGTTAGGAATAGCAATTACACCAGCATCTAAAACATTATAACAATAAAACGATTAAGTACCTACCCGTTTTTACTTGGTAGTTCTTAAAAAATAGAACATTGCAAACTGCGTTGGAAATCAAAACTGGAAGATTTTATGAGCCAAGCTCGGCTTTCCAAAGAGTAAAAACTGGACAGTTTTAGTTTAAATAATATATAACTAATAACTATAACAACATACACCACAGCAAAACATCGGCATGGTTATTATTAATTTTAAACAATTGTACGAGCCTTTTTACCCTACGACATCAGGAGGAGGGTTATGTTTTGTGAGTGTATGTACGAGTGATCACATAATAAGAAAGAAGACAAAATATGGAAAGAAGTAATAAAAAGGGTAGTAAAATATGAGGAGACGTTGGGAAGGCTGGGAGAGGAAGATATAAGGAAGAAAAGGTAAATGAAGAAGATGATGAATGGATGGAAATATGAGCAAAAAGTAGATATGATAGAGAGAGGGAGTGAGCGTTGAAGATTTTAAAAATAATGCAGGGGAACTGGGTGTCAAAGAATTTAGAAAGAGGAAGGAAGTAAGGGTAATGGCATGATTTAGGACAGGGAATGGGAGTAGAGAATGTAAATATTGGAAGAAAGAAGATGTAGAATGTGAAAGGGAGGAAGAGAGTTTGAAGCATGTGAGAATAGTGGACCCTGGGAAGAATGCTACGAGTTGGTAAGGGAAGGTGGGGGTAGGATGAGCCGTCGAAAGAATTTTTTATGGAATAGGAGGCCAAAGCAGAATGTACGCAGGGAATTGAGTGGGGGAAAAAAGGTAGAATAGGAATAAAGTAAAGAAGATGTGAATAACGGATATAATTTTTGGTTAAATAAAATAAGCATTCATAAGAAAAGTTCTAGTTTTAAGTTGGCATAAAAGGGGGATAAGGGATTTTTCTTTGTATTAGAGGAATTAAATATTGTAGGGCGAGGTGATTGTTTTATTTTTTTTTTGTTAAAAAGTATGTTTGACATATATATAGCTTAAGGTTCTCAATAAAGTAGTAAAATATGTATGTATATTACCAAAGAAAAGGAAAACTAGTTTGTTATGAAATTATTTAGTGTAAAATTGATGGATTTTAGCTTGAGAGGTGTCATTAAATTCGTCGTAATTGTGAGAGTGACATCAATGTTTTAAAAATATGTTATACGACCTACATGTTTAAACGTAATTTGGAAGGGGAAATACCAATAAACATATCTTTTCAGTTCATTATTTAAATAGGTGAAAATTTTAAGTTTACATTTTTTCACGCAGTCGAGTTTTTTGTTTTTTCTTGTCAATAATTGATAATACTTGTTGAAATACAATTTATTGTTGAAACTGATTTTGAATTAATTTTTATTTGGCTTGATTATTTAGCTTTTTTGACGCAATTCTATCTTACTTACACGTCACTATAAAGACGATGCATCGCAACAGAAAATGCCACCAAAATGGGTGTTTGTCTTTAAACTTTTCTTCCATTAATTCTTCCCATATCATATCAACTGGGACAACTGCATTTAGCCCGTAAGAAACCCACATTGAGAAGAAAAACAGTGTATTTAATATTCGTGGAATTCTGCAAAAAAACGATTACATATGATAAATTATTACAACTATTACAAAAGATAAAAAGTTTTTAATCAATTATTTTATCCGATTAGTGCGTTTATATTATTGTTAAACCATTTAATTAATGCAGTTTCTAGTTGGAAGCAATCATATTGTTAAATAGCCTAATTGTACTTTTCGAAAATGTGGATTGCCTATCCAAAATCTCCGCCAAAATTTATTAGGTAACGATAAAATGACTAAAAATACCGCTTTTATAAAAACCATCATTTTTCGACACCGTTTCTTTTATGAATCTTATTTAGTCATTATCTTAATGAATATAATTGCTTCTAAGTTTTCTAACAGTGAAATATTTTAAATATTAACTCACATGTCTTTAGGAGGTAAATTTAGGACAAAGTTTCCCTTTACTTCATCTCCGAATCTCCAATAACCAAAAAAAGCAATGGTAAAGTAAAGGGATCCTAGTACGTACATAGATAGTGGAAACATACCACATAAACCCCCAAATTGTTTAGGATTTTTCATGCTGTATTCAACGTGAGTAATCTGTAAAATCAACGATCTCCGTCTCAATCAAATCGAATAGAATTTATTCATAATTAAGGTAGTTCACAATAATTGAACAGCATTTATAAAAAGGAATTGTGAGTGAATTGTTTTGCCTTTTACTTAAATATTTCGCCACGTACAATAAATATTTTATTTCGTTGATCAAGAAACTGCTTACACAATGTTTTTCCATTCCGGTAAAATTCGAACACATTAATGTTTCTCGTTATATGATGTTCACCAGTGATGCAACGGAAGAGTCATAACGGAAACAGAGGTAAATAGTAAATTTTTAGGAAACGGAAGCGAATGCGGAAGTGTAGGTAATAATTTTAGGTGACACTTTAGAGATTTTGTTAAGTTCCGATAAGCTTCCGTTATAAAAATGCGGAACCGGGTGCGGAAGCGGATGTAAAAACATGTGCGGAACTTCCGCGATTGCGGAAGCAGAGGTCTGTTGCAACACTAATGTTCACACTATCGAGAGTTTGCTCTAATTACATATCAAATTTGAACTATTTTTATTTCTAGTGACCGAAGAAACGGAAGATAACACCTCGTTGTGGGTGAATGGGGGACACTTCAACTACCTCAGACATTTCATCACAGGATATATATATATATAAATGTCCTGACGTCATTGTAGGTATATCAAAATCACAAATGTTAAGGTTGTTACGTAATAATTTTGCATATAATTGTAAATGTAATGGGTTTCAAGTTTTCTTCTTTTAGTTGCATCTTGAGAGAAACCTTTTTGTGTCAGAATTAGTGGTGAACTACCTTTTAGGTTTAATGATTTACGCTTACCAATCCGACAGCTTGCATTGAAAATATGGATATTCCTATAAAAAGGGGGTACTTCGTTATAGAGCCGAATGCGTCTCTATCATCTATAAGATTTGCCAAATCTACGAACAAGTATCTGAAGCACAGGAGAAAACCTATTATCGTGGCGATATTCGCAGTGAATGCAAGAGGGGCAATCACTTTAAGATTCAAAATGAATAACGTGCAAAAATACGGCGGCATTGTAATTAAAATGTAATGAAATTTTGTAAGGGGTTCTTCAGTCAAAAATGAATTGACCATAGCTTCTAAAACGCCAGCACCGAATGAAATGTATGACATGCACGCCCCCAATTGAAGGCATATTGTGAAGATGAATGTGGTGTACCTGAAACGAAAATAAACTGGTTTATTTCTTATTCTAAAACCTTGCACCATATAAAAGGCTATAAGGGTACATGATAGTAAAAAGGAACAACGCGTAAAATTCAGTAGAAGGTGTTTATAACGTCTCCGTTTAGAGCGTCGATTTGCATATAACGACGAAACTTCGTACATTTGATTAATGGCAATTGTAGTTAAATTTCTTTCAGACTTCATTAGTAAACGTACATTACATCTTTATAATATGCAGTTTCAAGTTAAGCACCTCAAAAATTACTATCTTTCCACTGATTTTATGAATTAACCCATGTAGGTACGTATTTTATAGTTACCAACACGGTTTAAAGGATTCTTTATAAAATATTTTTAATAAAACCACAATAAAAGGATGAAATGTTCTTTATTGATGTGTAATTCCACCGACGTTTCGCCTTTAGATCTAAGACTTGAAGCGTCGGTGGAATTTCACCTCTTTCTAGTGCATTTAGTAAAAGTATGGTTACATACGAGGGTGGATTGATAAGTTTCCGGCCTGACCAAGAAAAACAAGGTTTTTAAAAATTTTTTTTTTTTATTTCTCAACATAATCTCCTCCAAGGCTGATACATTTCTCATAGCGGTGTTCCAGTCTATTAATGCCATCTCTATAGACTGATTCGTCAAGCTCCTCAAAATAACCATTTACAGCTTCGATTACTTCTTCATTGTCCGCAAATCTCTTACCGCCAAGCCATTTTTTGAGATTAGGGAACAGAAAATAGTCACTCGGGGCTAGGTCTGGAGAGTAAGGAGGGTGCGGCATCAATTCAAACTTTAGATCGTTGATTTTAGCCGTCGCAACGATTGACGTGTGCGCTGGTGCGTTATCGTGATGAAACAAGATTTTTTTCTTCGCCAGATGAGGTCGTTTAATTTTCACCTCGTGGCTCAAACGTTGCAATAAGTCTGCGTAGTATTGACCAGTGATAGTATTACCCTTTGCAAGGTAATCAATGTATATAATACCTCTTGCATCCCAAAAAACAGTAGCCATAACCTTGTTCGCCGAAAAAATTGTTTTTGCCTTCTTTGGAGTTGGTTCCCCTGGTCCAATCCACTGTTTAGACTGTTCTTTGGTTTCAGGAGTGTAGTGGTGGACCCACGTTTCGTCAACGGTTACGAATCGACGCAAAAATTCGCTTGGATTACGCTTATACAATGACAAATTTGCGGTAGAAATGTTTTTTCGAATCAATTTTTGGTCGACTGTTAGCAAACGCGGCACCCATCTTGCACAGAGCTTTTCCATATGCAAATGTTGGTGCAAAATATGTTGCACACGTTCATATGACATCTTACAGGTCTCAGCTATCTCACGCACTTTCAATCTGCGGTCTCCCAGCACTATTTGATGAATTTTTTCGATCATATCTGGAGTTGTGACCTCAACGGGGCGTCCTGAGCGAGGCCCATCAGAGGTGCTCACACGACCCTTTTTAAACTCGGAAACCCACTGCTTAACGGTTGAATATGACGGGGAGGATGTCCCCAGTGTTGAGTCCATCTCTTTTTTAATTTCCTTCGGCGTTAACCCCTTCAAATAAAAGTATTTGATGACAGCACGATTTTCCTGCTTTTCCATTTTTACGAAAACCACAGAGGCGTCTTGTTCAGCGTGCTGTCAAACCTACACTAGCAAGGAGATCGGGCTGAAACTATAGCTACAAGCTATCCAAGGATGGTACTATAGAATGTCACCTCAAGGTAGGCCTAGTGGCGTCATCTCTTGGTTAGGCCGGAAACTTATCAATCCACCCTCGTATATATCATTTGGAAAGAAAGCAGATACATAGGATTCTCCATAAATTTTTAAATCCGGATATAACAACGACACACAGCAAGTTTCTGACCACCGATATATTAAATATATTTACCAATAATCCATTGAAATGTCACATTATCTTACATTTTGGATATTATTATTATTATTCTTTTACGCAGGGGATTAGTGTGAACATAAATTTCGGTTTTCGGGGTTGAAAGCCCTGTTATATGACCGTCAAAGAAGGTAACAAATTTCCCCGAATCTCATTTTTTTTTTAATACTTGTTTCTAGAGAACGAAATTTTTTGTAACTTCTGTCCCGAAATTTTTTACAGTAAAATTAAAAATGAAAAAGTTGTAATTAAAAATGGACGATAAAACTGCAAGAAAATTATAATCAAATTGTTATACCACTATTTTTATTAATTTCATTGAAAAAGCATTTTTTGCAGATATTTTCACTTCAAATATCGGCCTCAATTATCCATTTTCGATAATACTTTTATTTGGAGAGATGTTTCAACGCTGCAAATGGATCAAACCAAAAAGAAACAGTATTGTACAAAAAATGTTGCATAATAAATTAACGAATTCTATTGAATTAATTTCGTTATTTCTATTAACTATCAGTTACCCTATTGGCATTTGTAAAGAGTTATTTTCTTTTTACCAATAAAATTTGCCACATTTTGAAGCACATGAAGGTCCCATTTCGGTCACCGTTTCCATGGCATAAGAGTATTGTAATAAGGGCACTTTCTTTCGCTTACAAATTCGATATTCAGTGGAGATCTGTGTAATTCATGAAGTTTTAAATCCATTTATTGAAAAAGACAAAAGTGCCTAATACACTGCATTGAAATTTAAAAACAGTTGATATATCTTGGACACAAGAGACCAATTTGAAACCATTTTCTTTAACTAAAATTTTCATTTGATAACAAATTTCTGAGAATTTATTCCATCACTTATACTAAAGACTATCCATAGAAGTGACACTTCTTATTAATAACTTAAGTACGTGTGATATTAATTAATTTGCTAGGAAATAGATATGGAAGTTACATTTCTTTTTGAAGTTTTCGTATAATAAACAAATACTTTATTAAATTATATATTGACCGTTCTGGTCCAATACCTTTTGCCATCTTTCTGGTAGTAGCATAATTCCACGCTCATAAAATTTTTGGTCTTTGCTGGCAAAAAACTGATCGAGGAGGTTTTTGACCTCCTCATTTGAGGTGAAGGTTTTACCGTCTAAAAAATTTTGGACTGACCGGAACAAATAATAATCCGATGGTGCCAAGTCTGGAGAATATGGTGGGTGTAGCATTGTATCCCATTCAAGCTGTAAAAGCTTTTGGCTAGTGACCAAACTTGTGTTAGGTCTCGCGTTGTCTTGGTGAAACACTACACCTTTCCTGTTAATTAGTTCTGACCTTTTCTGTTGAAGTGCATCATTCAGTTTGTCCAGCTGATGTCAGTAGACTTCCGAATTAATCGTTGTTATCCGGTAAAAGCTCAAAAAAAACGATTCCTTTAAAATCCCACCAAACAGACAGCATCACCTTTTTTTGGTGAATATCGGCTTTGGAAATGGTTTGAGCCGATTCATCTTTTTTGCTCCATGACCTCTTGCGTTTGACATTGTTGTATACAACCCATTTTTCGTCCCCAGTGATGATGCGCTTCAAAAACGGATCATTTTCGTGACGTTTGAGAAGCGAATTGCAGACGTCAATGCGGCGACACAGATTTCTCTCTGTGAGAACATGGGGAACCCATACATCAAGCAAACACTGTGAAATTTCAAATTTTAAAACTAAAAGTTTTAAGTTTTCACTTCTATCGGCAGTCCCTGTAACTGCCAATTTTTTTTTGTTTTCTGTACAGTTTAGTTTTGTTCATGCTTTTAGATTTTGTAACCATCTTTTCTTGTTTATATTAAAGGTATTAAATTAACTTTTTCTAATTGTAATACTTTTGTATAGCACTGTTATCAATATTCTTCCGCGCCCACTAGCCATTTCGTGTATTTTCTATTGAAGATTGAAGGGAAGCACATTATTTTCAGCAAGCCACGGGTGCCGAGTATTTAACGATTAGGCGGCCTTGGGTAGCGGATAGGTGGTTCTTTACTGTCCTGGTGAAGAACAAGCCTATTTCAGGGCCTAGCGATCCTGCCCACGCAAGCTCATGGTTGCCCCTAATTCCCAGAAACCCAGGGGGGTCATGTCCCAACCTTTACTCCTTATCCAACGTTTTGGCCTTTTGTCTCAAATTATCCCTACCTACATTTCCCAACCAAATGGCAAATTAATATCAGTTATTAAATTAGTAGTCATAAAAGTTTGGAAAACGTATATATGCTATTCCAGAATATTTGGAAGGTAACTTCTGGATGCAGTGCGGAGTGCATCTCGTGATAGCGCCACAACGTAGGGAATATAAAAAAGGTATGCACAAATTGATATAGCAGTATTAGGATGCAGCAGGACGAGTTAGAGATAGTTTTAAAGACAACGGATGCGGTACTGACAGATCAGTACTGTATGAAAATAAATAAAAGTAAAACTAAAATACTAGTAGATATTCAAGAAAAGAAATAGTAGAGAAAGAGCGAATATAAACATGAGACACGAAAAATTAGAAGAAGTGGCTGATTTTAGATAACTAGGTAGTCAGATAAGTCAGGACGGAAGGAGTAGTAGGGATCAGGGATGTAACGGAGGTAGTTTTATCGGAACCGAAGGCGGAGTCGGAGTTTTTAAATTTGCTTTATCGGAGTCGGAATCAGAGTCGGAGGCACGGTCAGAAGTGGTTGCATGAGAGAGAATTTTTATTTAAGGACAAATAGTCAAATTTTTTTCATTTCAATTTTCAATTATAAAATAAAACACGAACAATGAAAAAATAATTGACGATAGAGTGCTCAGTGCACGTAGTGGAAGTCGGGGGGATTCCCCGCGCGACATACTTTGAACCTGTTCATAACAGTCGAGACAGGCCGCCGCGCCGCCCCTATGTTATGCTTCGACCTCCGAATAAAACCTTCGATTTAAAAGTGTCGGAGCCGAAGTCGGAACCGAAGGTGTAATAATAATCGGAAGTTCCGACTTAACGGAACCGGAGTCGAAGCTCCATAACATCCCTGGTAGGGATATAAAGCAAGGATGGCGCAGGGTCGAGCCGCCTTCAATAATAGGAAGTCACTTCTATGCTCGCGAACGGTTAATTTAGAAATTCGAAAAAGGTTGTTAAAGGTGTATGTTTGGAGCGCGGCGCTGTACGGATGAGAAACATAGACAGTGGGCGCGGCTGAAAAAAAAAACGTTAGAAGCGTTCGAAATGGTGTTACAGGCCATTTATGAGGATGCCGTGGATAAAGAAGGTTATAAATGAAGAGCTATTAGAATGAAAAGGAAAACAGAGGACTCTATGAGTCAATAAGAAATAGGCGAAATACGTTAGTAGGACACTTTCTCAGTCATGAAGGTCTAGTCAAAGGTAGAGGTAGACCTAGATTAGATTACTGTTGGTAAATAGCCAAGGATGTGAGTTGTACTAGTTTTGGGGAAATGCGAAGATTAGCTCAGGATAGAAAAAGCGAAGGCGCGTGTCGAACCAGTCTTAGGACTGACGATGAAAAATAAATTATTTAGAATTTTTGTTTACCATTTCAAATTAGCAATTTAATTCGTGATTTTCAAATTTTTCATAAAAATCTTCCTTCAGTTCAAATTTGATTACCGATAGATACTTTAAACGGAGGGGCAAACAGACAAACGAGCCGATGGACGAACAACGAAATGATTCCAAAAAAGGGCTTTCGGAAAGGTCTCAAATATACTGCAAGCTCTTGTGTCCAAAATTCAACTTTCCTATTTATGTCATTTATGTCCCAATATTGGAACTATTATTGATATTTTGTTTTCCGGAAGAATAAAAGTTTTAGTTACCAGGGTGTTGAGAGTGTGAATTGTTAGGAGGATGCACAGGATGAGGCCGACAGATCCAACAACCCAACCCGCGTGCTTAAATGCTATCGGCAACGCCACAATTCCACTTCCAAGGTTTCCTTTGAGCATATCCATAAATGCTTCCAAATTGCTGTAAATATTTCATACTCTCAAGATTATGGTAATATACGTCAAACAGAAATTAAAAAGTCGGTGGTTTTTCTTGTGGGCGATCCAGAGTGGTGAATATCGTATTCCTCTAGTCATCGGCTTTTCATATTGGTGGGCGCTATCCCACGTATTAAAATCCTGCCAAAAAAAATTCTAGTATCTAGGTACTTAGGTACCCTATCCCTAATTTTGATATTAAGTTTCTGTTTTGATAGTACGAATTCTTAAACAGCGGTCGGAAGGGGTATAAAACTTAAATTAAAATTTTAACTGCAATTTTCTTGTGAAGTCTAAGAAACATCTAGAAATCCAAAGAGGGATGTACAATACTATTTTAAAGAGCTAAACAGTAGTAGGGATATAAAGCAGAGGATAGTGCAGGGTCGTGTCGCCTTCAATAAAATAAAGTCACTTCTATGCTCGCGAACGGTTAATTTAGAAATTCGAAAAAGGTTGTTAAAGGTGTATGTTTGGAGCACGGGTGCGAAACATGGACAGTGGACGGGGCGGAAAAGAAAAGGTTAGAAGCCTTCGAAATGTGGTGTTACAGGCGAATGATGAGGATATCGTAGGTAGAAAAGGTTAGAAATGAAGATGAGAACATAGAACTCTATGGAAGTCAATAAGAAATAGGCGAGATAGGTTGGTAGGACACCTTCTCAGGCATGAAGGTCTAGTCAGAGACATATTAGTGGCAGAAACAGGAGTTAGGAGGGGTAGAGGCAGATCTAGGTTAGATAACTGTTCGCAAATAGTTAAGGATGTGGGGTGTTTTAGTTTTAGGGAAATGCGAAGTTTAGCTCAGCATAGGAAAGAGTGGAGGTACGTGTCCAACCAGTCTTAGGACTGACGACCTTATTATGATGATAAAATAGTGCGATAAGTCAGAACGGAAGGAGTAGTAGGAATATAGAGCAGAGGATAGCAAAGGGTCGAGTTGTTTTCTATGGTTGCGCACGGTTAAAGGTGTATGTTTGGAGCGCGGCGGTGTACAGGTGCGAAACACGAGTGGTCGGCGCGGTGAAAAAGAAAAGGTTAGAAGCGTTCGAAATGTGGTGTTACAGGCGAATGATGAGGTTACCGTGGATAGAGAAGGTTAGAAGTGAAGGGGTATTAGAAAGAATAGGAAAACAGAGAACTTTAAGCAAGTCAAAAAAAATTGGCAAATATTTGTAACCGTCGCTCACTTCTGGTTATAGTCATTTGAATTTACAGGAATGGAATGGAGTTAAAGTAAGGTACAATTTATTTTCCCCAATTCCAAAACGTAGAAACTATGCTTCTGTTCGCCTCAATTTTGTTTAGCAAATAGTATACAGGGTGTTCCATTTAAAAAAAACAACTTAAGCAGCGTTCTGTTTTATACGTTGGACGGTAAATTTTCAGCGGTCTGTATACATTTAAGACACTAACGGTATGATAGAGTTGTATAATCAAAGTCGATCTAAAAAGGGTAAAACATTGCGGCTTTTTCGAAAATGCAACTTTTTTTGCTGGAAATGGTTTAAATTATGAAAAACTTACATGAAATAGTCGGGGGGGAGGTGTTTTAAACAATTTTTCCAATTTTTAACAAGAAAAAGGCATTTTCGAAAAAGCCGCGATTCGGAAGTTTCACCCCAAAAAGGTTCCCTGAATTTAAAAATTTCATAAAAAATATAGCATTCTATTTAATATAAGCTAGTTGATGTCGACTTCCGCTATAAGCAAAGTTTCATTACAATTTATTGAAGCTCATTTTGCAATGGAAAACAGCAGGTCCTTTGTCACAATCAGAATTAAAAGCATATAACCATTTAGATAAATATCACAATTAGTTTCAGTAATTTCCAAAACGGAAGGGCATGTTTTTAGAGTAGATTTTCAACAAGATCTATTAAAAATGTGGGACCTAAATTTCTGAAAAGATATTTTTAAGTTCCTTACAATAAATCCTTTCAAATGGTATATCCTAGATCGTGGATGATATGCAGTACAAATAATACTTTATAAAATTAAATCCAAAAAAATACTCACTTGATAGGTCTCTTAACTTCTCTGTGTTCGTGTGGATCATAGTCGCTGTCCATTATGTTTAAATATTACCAAAAAAATGTGTAAATTTAATAAAAGCTTTTTTGTGATATGTATGCATAAAGGCAAATTACAATGTGTAAATAAAAATCCTCTTTTGTGCGTATAAAAATAACGGATGATTACGACTCTAACAGAAAAACTATTTTATATTTAAATGTCACTTAATAGTAACCATGGAATTAGTTGAATATACGAGGTCTGTTTTAAAAGTATCGCGAATTTTGAATTTCCGCGGGTTAAGTATATTCGATTTTCGATTTTTTTGTTGCGTTATGTTGGTACTCATGTCTCTCGCTTATACCGACACGTTCGGTTGAATGTTGAGTTAATTTTTTAAACAGCTACTTTGCTTGCACGTGTTTTGGATCGTCTTCTATTTTTGCCTGTTCCAAAAAATGGATCAAAGAAAATCTGTATCCAATTTTGTATGAAAAACAATATTAAATGCGCGGACGCATTCCGAATGTTGACTGTGGCATATTGTGAAGCTACCTTGGACCGAAGCAGCGTTGCCAGCCTGTACGATAATTATGGGAACATACGATAATTTTGCTTCAAATACGATGTACGATAATTTGGAAATTCGAAAAAGATTGTTAAAGGTGTATTTTTGGAGCGCGGCGTTGTACAGGGGCGAAATAAGGACAGTGGGCGCGGCGGAAAAGAAAAGATTAGAAGGGTTCGAAATGTATTGTTACAGGCGAATGATGAGGATATCGTGGATAGAGAAGGTTGGAAATGAAGATGTATTGGAAAGAAAATGAAAACAGAGGACTCTATGGAAGTCAATAAAAAATAGGCGAGATATGTTAGTAGAACATCTTCTTAGGCATGAAGGTCTAGTCAGAGCCATATGAGAGGCAAAAACGGGAGTTAGGAGGGGTAGAGGTAGACCTAGATTAGATTACTGTTCGCAAATAGTTAAGGATGTGGGGTATTCTAGTTTTAGGTAAATGCGGAAATTAGCTTAGGATAGGAAAGAGTGGTGGTGTGTGTCCAGCCAGTCTTAGGACTGACGACCTGTCCTCTTCACATTTGAACTTAAACTGTAGTCAATGGATGATAATTTGGATATATTTGAATATAATTTGTATACCTAATATNATAATATGAGGGTCCTTTTTAACCCGTTGAACTGGCTTCTTGCGTAGTAGCCGTAAACAAACTGGTAAACAAAAACATCAATTCGTCTGGAAAACATGAAATTCTTTGTTTATCCTGCAATTGATCCTGATGTTTCACATCGAAATTATATTATTTGAATATCATTTATAAGGTGAAAAAAACATCGTACGGGTCTGAAATATTTTATCTTGAACAACGATCATGTGATGAAAGTATTAACGAAAGAAAAAATTATTTTATTATGTGTACACAGCCATATTTTGAAGGCATGTAACGTTATGATCCTTTTCAAAATGAAACAATGGTTATGCTTATAAAAAAATATTTGAAACAAAATTTGTAGAAAATTTTATGCTCTACAATTTTCATAATAAATACAAATGTCATTGAAACCATAGGAAGCGAGAATAACCAAAAAATCGATTTTAATGACCTTTGAACTTGAATATCTTAAGACGCAAAACATGAGATTTTATCTGATTTTTGACACAACATTTGAAATGTCAAAATAAAGGTTTTAAACAAATTTACAGCTTATTATCTCTCATTCCGAGGTGACTGGACTAAAATAAACCTTCTTGTTTAAAAAATATTTACAATCCCATTTTGGTTTTAATCTTTTACTCATTATAATAAGGGTAACGAATGGAATCCATAGTTTCTTCAGCTTTAGATTCATTTAATAATTAAAGTTTTTGAAATCGTTTTTTATGACTTTCTGATTATATCTACTAGCATGCTACAATATCGTACATCGATTAGATATTATCAAGAACCTGTAAGCGAGCAGTGTATAGTTCAAAAAAGCCTGCTGGATTATCATGCTTATTAGAAACGATCATATTTATGCATTTACGTAGCTAGGTTTTCATCTGTAGCTTCGCCGTGGGCCAATTCACCTCCGGTCTTCGGTAATGAAGTACCAAGTATTCAGTCGTAACAAATGCGTGGTGCCTGAAGCACTAGCTTTGTGCCTTTTATTTATTTTAATATGTACAAAGCACATAGATTTTCATATTTGTGTGTTTATGTTTAGATCACGGACACCCACACTGCCTTAGGTTACTAGAATTGTATGTACATTAGTAATAAACTAAAATAGGAACAATGAATTATGAATGCATCGTAACCTATTTTTTTTTTCACTGGTAATGATGACACGACACCAGTGCACACAAAATTTCTAATTGGAGGAAGGTGGAACAAGAAAATTTAATATACATTGATCAGATGTGTTTTATTTTTAATTTTTGGTAGGAGCCAAGAAGAAGGTAACCAAAGGGAACGTTCAGGTATTACGTAACGCAATTTTTGAGGATTTTTGACCCTCCTTCCCCCTTGTAACGCGCCGTAACGTTTTTCTGTACCCCCTCTCCCCTCTAAACGTAACGTAACACTCAAGTTACCATTTTTACCCAAATGTCGCAAAAGTTGTTGCGCAAATCGTATAACATGATTTATATGTTCAACAAACTTTTCTTTATTTTTTAGTTTTTCTTTAGCCGTTTTCCAAATTTTGTTGGCACTTTCTTGACATAGTTGCGCTGGCAAGTCAGCATGAGATNGCCTGCTTTCAGGAATCGTGGGAATGGGTGGGTGGTGGTTCGGGTGAGAAAGATGAGACGGACGAAATGAAGACAGAAGAGAATGAAAGATTATCTGTGAAATATAACTGCCTCAGCATTTGCCTAGGTGATCCAAGGAAACCACAGAAAAACTTGGACCAAGGCAGACGGACCCGGAATCGAACCGGCGTCCTCCCTCTTTTATACCGTTTAATACCTTAAACATCGGATTGCGGACAAGAGGGTGAAGCCACTTAAGTCCTTCCAAATATAGGAAATAATAATTATGCCGAATATTTGTTCGCTTCACGTATAACGTCCCCTAAAAGCTAATATGTAAAAATATTTCTAAACACTTATAAATCATGTTGTATAGTTTCCTATTTTTTGAAGTTCGACTTAAAAACCTTATAAGTAACAAGAATTTTTCAATTTTGTACTCCGGCCCGCGTACTTAAAATAAACCTTAATCTGGCCCCTTCTACACAAAACGTTGCCCACCCCTGCTCTAGATAATGGTCGTTATGATCGAAACAATATTGTCGAAGCAATAAAAATTTTCGTGAAACTTATTTATTTTCTTTCGTCTTCCTTTTGAAATGTTTCACGAAAAGTGCACTAAGCAAAGTTTAAGGTTTATGATGTTGTAGAAATATACATCCATTAATAGAGCCGATTGGAGTGTATTAGATTCCATTAAAAAATACCTGTACAACGTTCGTGTTTAAAGTTTGAAGCACATGCTAAATACAACATTACAATTGAATTTATAGGTAACTTAAGGCGCACATAATTTTTTTTCTATTGGTAAGATTTAAAACAAATGAATTGAAATCCTTCTTGGCTGAATCTTTCATATTGGAATGAGTTACTCGTTTTCTCGTCCATGTTCCGAATACCAGATCGTAAGTTTATGATATAGAAACACATTGTCCATAAGTACCAGCGAACCAACCATATATACATATAGGAGTGGATGGTGGTAAGCCTTAGGCCCTTAGGGGATGTTCTTTCGTGGTACCGTAACGTGATCACCAGAGGGCACCCGACCATGGGAACGCGCCCTCCCACACACCCGTCCCGAGAATGTTTCATCTGATGCTCCAACTAATTCGAAGTTGGCCGGGTAAACAAAAGAATCGCCGCTCGCTCTTAATCGGTAAGGTCGTAAATCTGAGGAGGCATTATCTGGCGAACGAAACGTGTGCAAATGTGTACGTATTAACGCGTTAATATAAAGACCGCGATCGGCGTTTGTTTTATTTCACACCAAGCCTACTACGACGGGGAAAAAAGTGCCACACGCCACGATTGTAATGCAATTTATTGTCGCACATGCCGGGATGTTATTACTTATGTAAAAAAATAATAGCGGACTTAATTGTAGGGAAAGCATAATAACGATAATAAACGTAAATTTAGTCTTAATTTATATTGTTTTACAGCGTAATGTAAGCCTTAAGGGCACTTAGAAAATGAAAGAAAATCGTAGTTGTAAAAAATACTTTTAATGCTTTTTGTGATACTTAACGACATTTACTACAAGAAAAGACATTTCATTGTCATAAATTTGGTAAATTCCCTATGATGTTCATTGAAAGCTATAAAATATACAATAATTTTTTAGGTTCAGTAATTTCCGAAAACAAAAAGGGAACAATATAATATGCAAAAAGAAATCTAAAAAGAACAGTTTTATTTGGTGCATATTGCGAACGTTTTTATCATCATAGATAAAGATAAGTTTGTTCAGTAAAAAGAACATGTCAAGGTAAACGCGTTACAGATCAAATAATATTCATCACTATGTTTAATCGTTTCTTATTCCTTGTGTAAACCAAATTAAAATCTTTATGTATCCAACTTTTTAATCTTTCTAGTTAGTGAACTATACTAAAACAATAATTCTTCGTCCTCTCGATCTCCCACATCGAACTTGACATCCACGCACAAACGCCTCCGGACATTATAATGAGTAAAATTCCGCAAACAACGAGCCATCCTCCGATAAAGAGCGGAATAGAAAGGCTTGCGGCAATAAAGAATGAAGCGACGGCAACAGAGCACGGACTTCCAATTGTCTGCAGGACCGGAGGCGTATATCTCGCTGGGCGCCCGGGGAATCCTGTCGAATGGCTCGCGGCAAGAACGGGCTCGATTCTACGCTGCCTTTCGGCTATGGACTCCAATTGGTTTTATGTAGTAGAGAATATTGAGTCGGCCGTTGCCTAGGATACCGTTAACCTGCAGCAAAACAGCCTCGGTGCCGTTAAATTTTTGATGTACAATCAAAAAGAAAATACAGGACCGAACACGCTGAAGAATTCAACTAACTAAGGGAAAATAGAATCCTGTAATAGTCAACTTAATTAGGTCCCATTGTTTTTCTGTGCTTCGTAAACAAATTCCAAAATAAAACTGATGAATTTTCCATGTGCCTAGATAATCATTTCGTATATATATTGCAAATGAAAATTTGTCTATCCGTTGTCACTAAATTCGAGAAACAATGAACTCATTTTCATACGGTTTTTACTGTCAATAAATAAAATGTAACTATCTAAAGGTTTTAAGACAAAGCCGTTACCAAAAGAGCTGCAAAGCCCTACTTCCAAAGCCCTTCCTTAATCTACTTAAGCCCTTGAAACCCTAATTAAATTTTAAATTTCGAAAGGACTTGGAATTACCAATTAATTCTAAAGCAGTTATATTCAAATCCTTAAGCACTTTGAATATGCTTCAAACAC